AGACGTCTTCGGACAGCGCTGGCTCTTCGGCTTTGAAACGGAGATGAGCACCGCCCCCTAGAGTCAGGAACGACCAGCAAGCATGTGTGAGGGGAACCATTCCCTTATTATAAATCCTTTAAAAAGAAACGTAAAGGAGAATAGGGGTTGCCTATTTGGGGGGTGAGGGACTCTAAACACCTGCTAAGCTATTCAAAAGGCTTAAAATGAACCGAGTGTAGATATCCTGGTGGGAAGTAGTGCAGTGGTGGGTTTCAAAAAAGTTTGGAACCTCTTCTGTAGGTGTGGCCTGCTTTCCGGGTCCACTGGTGGAACCTCTTCTAATCAGTTCGGTAGATTTGACCAACCGGTTCTACCGAACTGGTGCGAACCGGTAGGAACCCACCTCTGGAGTAGAGTGTGTGTGTGTGTGTGAGAGTTCTTTGAAGGGATCTCTTTAATTTGAGCCAACTGCTCCGTTCCACCTCAGTCATTTAATCCTCCTCTTGATTCTCACAGCCGCTTGGACAAGGGCCTGGCCAGCTTGGTCCGAGAGCGGAAGACCGACCTGGTGATCATCGAAGGAATGGGCCGGGCCATCCACACCAACTACCACGCCAAGCTGAAGTGCGAGAGCCTTAAGCTGGCAGTGCTGAAAAACTCTTGGCTGGCCGACCGTTTGGGCGGGAAGATCTTCAGCGTCATTTTCAAGTACGAGGTCCCCCTCAAATCCTCCTGATGAACCCCCAGAGGGGGCACCCCGAAAGAGGCCGAGCTCCGACTTAGCCAAGGACTTGCACTAGTTACAATTTTAATGGTAAAGAATGTATTTTTATTACCACAGGGAAAATGAGTTCTCTCTCTCTCTTGCGCGCGCACACACACACCACACACCTCTGTATTTATATTGTGCTTTTGTGACTTAAAAAGAAAGCAGCTATCACTCACTCCACGGGCCTGCCTGCGTGTCTGTCTTTCTCCGAATTGGATTGGCAGTTCGGTTTTTCCTCCCCCCCCCTCCCAGGGTTTTGTGTGTGTGTGTGATGCTTGTATTGAAATGGTTTTTATATATATATTCTATATTTTAGCTTAAATTTGAACTGGCCGATTACACAGCCAAAGATCAAATAGAAATTGTAAAAAGATGAAGGAATCTTGGTTCTTCTATACTTTACAGGCCCAAAGTGAAGCAAAACTGTTTGAAAAGGCCGATTTTTAAAAAGAGACTATTTCTACACCAAAAAGCACCATTAGCTTAATATTAATGTGAACAATATTAGAAGTCTTGGGGATAGACAAGCATGGAAGAGTAGAGGATGCCTCTTATAGTGACCATATGCCGAAGAATAATCACATTAACCACTAGAAACCTAGGCACTTCTTCCATATATATATATATATATATATATATATATATATATATG